AAAGGGTTTAAACGGATTTTTAATAACTTTTAAAAAATAAAAATAAATATAATATATAGTTTTTATTAAAATAGTAAAAAGATTTAAGAAGTTCGTATATAGTATTAACGATCGAAGATCGTAACGACTTTAAACTATACCTAAGGAGTACTAGATATATATAAAAGTATTTATAAAACCTAAAGAAATAGGATTACTAAAACATAGTAACTAAGATATAAAAATCGAACTTAAAAAAGGAATATAACCTAAGTTCTATTTAATATACTTAATAAATTAAAAAGAATAAGAGTATTTTAATAAATATATTAATAAGAAGCTCGAAAAAGGATATATTTAACTATTAAATTCTTTTATAAAATTCCCTTTATTTTTTATATTAAAAAAGGGTAGAAAATTAAAACCTATTATTAATTATAAAAGACTTAATAAAATTACGAAAAAGAATTACTATCCCTTATTACTTATTACTAAGCTTAAAGATCTATTTTATAGAGCTAATTAGTTTATTATTATAGATCTTAAAGAAGTATTTAACTAGATTTAAATTAAAGAAGGAGATAAGTAGAAGATAGTATTCCGAACCTATAGAGGACTTTTTAAGTACTTCGTTATACTTTTCGGACTTACTAATACTCTAATAACTTTTTAAATAATAGTTAATTACGTACTCCGGGAGTATATTAATATTTTTATTATTATTTATATTAATAATATTCTTATTTTCTTTCCTAACTTTAAAATATATAAAAAGTATATTTATATAGTATTTTAAAAACTTTAGAATACTAAATTATATACCGAACTCTCTAAGTATGAGTTCTATATATAGAAAGTAGATTTCTTAAGATATATTATTATACTAGGATAAATCTATATATAAGTATTAAAAATAGAAGTAATTAGGGACTAGCCTATACTATAAAACGTTAAAGACGTATAAGGATTCTTAGGATTTATTAATTTTTACTAACGATTTTTAAAGGACTATATTAGTATAATTAGACCTCTTAATAACCTAATACTAAAAAATACCCTATTTATTTAAGATCCTAAGTATAAAGAAGTATTTATTAAAATTAAGAATATAGTCGTTTTTAAACTAGTTATTATAATCCTAGACCCCTAAAAACCTTTTAAAGTTAAGACTAATACCTTAAACTTTATTATAAGAGCGGTCTTAGGATAATAAAATAAATAAGAAAAGCTTTATTTATATTACTTCTATTTTAAAGTATTTTATAAAGTAAAATTAAATTAGTAAGTTTATAATAAGGAACTAATAATAATTATTAAAGTATTTTAAAAATAGAGACTATAGTTATTTAGAACTAAGTACGAAGTTATAGTTTATATAGATTATAAAAACCTTATAAACTTTATAATAAATAAGAATCTAAATAAACGATAAGTTAGATAAAGTAAATTCCTATTTAAATATAACTTCCGAATTATTTATTAAAAAGGTTTAGAAAATAGTAAAATAAACGCTCTTAGTAAAAGACCTAACTACGAAATCGCAGTCTTTAAAAAAATATAAATTATTTTTAAATAAGAAAAAGACGGTAGTTTTATATTAACTATAAAACTTTTTATAATAGCTAGAAGGATTAATACTAGCCTAACTAAAAAAATAACCCCTAAGCTTATTATAGAAATTTATAATATACTAATATACGGTTACTAAGGAGTTATTAAAACGTAAAAACGGATTCGTTAGTATTATAATAAATTTATTATATATACTAAAATTATAAAAATAATTAAGGACTACGCAACTTATAAAAAAAGTAAAAATAGCCTATATAAGCCTTATAGCGAACTATAATTATTATAACTACTAATAAAAGTATAGTAATTAATTATATAGGACTTTATTATTAAATTACTAAAATCTAGAGAACTATTTATTAAAATATAGTATAATAGTATCTTAGTTATAGTCGACCGACTTACTAAGTTTGCGTATTTTATTCCCTATAAGGAATTAAGTACTATAAAAGACCTAGTATATGTATTTATTAAGGTTATACTTTCGAACTACGGTTTATTAAAAGAAATTATCTCTAATAGAAATAAGCTATTTATTTTAAAGTTTTAAAAATCCCTAATTTCGCAACTTAGTATAGACTATAAACTATTAATATTATTTTATTTATAAACCGATAGATAAATAAAAAGAATTAACTAAATCCTTAAAATATACCTTCGTTATTATATAAACTACGACTAGGATAATTAAGTAGTACTTTTACTAATAACCCAGTTCGTATATAATAATATAATTAATAAAAATATAAAAAAATCCTCGTTTTACCTTAATTATAAATTCTAACTAATAATATATAAAAAAGTATAATAAGGACTATAAGCTATAAAAGCTATAATAAATATAAATAAACTTAAAGAGATTTATAAATATGCCTTACTAAACCTCGAGTTTATATAATAGTATATAAAAAAAAACGCGGATAGATTAAGGATTAGAGGATTATTTTTAAAAAAGGGGGATAGTACCTATTTCCTTTATTATAATATTAAAATAAAATAATTAAGTAATAAATTAGATTATAAAAAACTTAGACCTTTTAAAATTATTAAAAAAGTCTTATTAGTTAATTACGAATTAAGATTACTAAATACGATACGATATTATCCCGTTTTTTATATCTTATTACTTAAACCTATACTAAAAGGTTTATATATAAAAGATTATATTATCGTTAAACTAAACTAATTAGAATATAAAGTTAAACGAATTATTAATTATAGAATAAAAAATAATAAAAAAGAGTACTTTATTAAATAGAGAAACTATAAATATAAAGAAAATATATAGGAACTTATTATAAACTTTTAGAACTCTTAATAACTTCTTAAGGAGTATTAAAGTTAAAATTAAACCTAGAACTCTTAGCTATTACGGCGTTTTAATTAATAATTTTAAAAGTATTATTAGTTTATACTTTACGAGCTACTAAGGAAGTATTTTTAGAATCCTTAAAGAACTCTTTTAATATAATCCGACTTTTTTTAAATACTATTCGCTTTTAAAAACGAAAACGCTCTAACTTAAATAACGACTTATTTAACTTAGCCTAAGTTTATTAATAAGCCTTAGCCTTTTTTTATAACTCCGTAGCCCTTTCCTAAAACCGTAACTCTTCTACTTTTTTTTTATAATTAAAGCGATTAGACTTTATTATTAATTAATTAACTATACTTAGTTAATTAAAATTTAATAAATAGAAATACGATATTTATAAATATAAATAGCGTTAGCGGACGTATTATATAAAATACTTAAATAATAGTATATTTTATAGATTTTAGAATTAAGAAGAACTAAATAACGGACCCCTTATAAATAATAATTTAAATAAAGTATTATTTTTATACCTTTATTAAAAAAGCAAATAATATATAATAATTTATAACGAGACGTAGTTATTAAAGATTTCGATTTTTTAATTTAACCTAATATCGTATTAGTATATTTTAAAAAAATACTTAACGATTCCCTAATTTAAGAATAGACGACTTATTTATAAGCCTAGAGGACTAGACCTTTAAAAAGAGAAGTTAATATTATAACTTAATATATATAATAAGGCTAGGGCCCCGCCCTACGGGACTTATAGCGGCTATTATATTATATATATAAAAATATAGACTTAAAATAACTCCTCTTAAAACAAAAGAATTATAAATAAGTTACGTAACTATAATTATATAATAAAATAAGGAACGGATACTTATAAATAAATAAGACGGACGATTATAAATAAATAAGACGGATAACCGTTTAGTAAATAGTTAAATAATAATAAATAAGAATATTATAAAAAATATATTTAAAAACAAGACTTATATATAGTATAGACTTAAGCTAGGCTTAAGGATAGACTTCTTATAGCTTTTTTAATAATTAACTTAGTATTAGATCTTATAATCGCTTTTAACTATTTTTATTAAGAACCCTTTTTAATAAGACTACGATTAATTACCGAAGCCTTATTTATTTTACGATTTATAAATATAGCTTTAGGGAAGCTATTTATAATTATAATACTATTTACTTAGTACTCGTAGCCTTAACTTTTATTAATATACTTACTACGACTAGCTAGCCGTAATATACGTAATATATAATACGGCCCCGGTAGATTACTTTATTAAAAAGAAAAAGTATATTATATTATATAATTTCTTTTAAAAGCGTAATCTTATTAAGGTCGATCTTTTATACTTATAAAGCCGGAAAACAAAACTACTATATAAACTTTATTTTTATTACTTAGTATAGTTATTACTTATATTAATAACTAATATTCTTTATTATTAAACTTATTATTATTATTATTATAATTACGGTTTTTAATTTATTTTTACTTAGCCCTAAGTATAATATTAAAGTTAATATAGTAAATATAAAGTTATTACTAAATATTTAAGAACTACTTATTTAGTATAGCTTTTATTTACTTATTATAGTTTGTAATTATAATAATAAAGTAACGGACTAAGTATTAGTTTATAAATTAATAAATACTTATTAAAAAAACTAAAACCTCTTTAATTTCCTATTATTAATAAAACTAAACATAGTATTATAAATAGATACAAAATAAGTCTATTTAGTAACTTAAAAAAAAGAGAGCTTAAAATAATTAGTATTATAAGTATTATCGAAATTAATTACTTTAGAGAATCGCTTTTATATTTAGAAATAATAAAAAAAGGTTTAAATAAGGCTAATAAAGTAATTTAGCTCGTCGTTTACTTATTTTATTATATATAGGATATTTTACTTATTAAATAGTTTAATTAATATTATAATTAAGAAGTATTTAGCTAGTTTTTTTTTAGTTTATACGAGCCCTAGTATTATAAATATTTCGTTAAGTAAATAAGAATTTTCAAAATTATTTTTAACTAATAATATATATATTACGAACCTAAATCTTAATTCGTTAGCTTATAATTTTAATAGTATTTAATTTTATATTCTACCTTTATTAGTTACTCAGGCGGTTCTCGATATTAATTATATAGTATTAATACATAATATTAATAAATACTCCCACTATCTTAGTAGAATTTTAATAGTATTTTTAATTATTTTAGTAAGTTTATAATATAAAGGGTATATAGAGGTTTTAAAACTAGGGTTATAATTATATTAATTATACTAAGGGTTTAAATAATAACGTAATAACTACTTATTTTCTTTTTAAGCCTTAGTAATAACTTATTATTTATAATTATATAGTGGTTTTTTTTTAGCTTTATAATTATAAAAAATCGACCTTAACGGGATTACGCTTTTAAAAGAAATTACACGATATAATATACTTTTTAATTATATAATATGCGCAATATATCCTAAGTACGCACTTAACGTAATATAATAATTTTAATATAAAAACCGCTATTTAATTTAGGATAAGTAAGCTACTTTACGTAGTAGCGCTAGTTAGAAAAGTTAATAATAAAAGTTAGTTATAATAATTAGCTATAATAATTAGCTATAATAGTTAGAGGCGGCCCTTAATTATAAAGGTTCTAAACTTTAATAACAATATAAAGGTTTTTAAAAAAAAAGCTAAATAAGCTAATATTTACTACTTAGAGCTCGTAAAGATTCTTTTTATTTTTATTGCTTTTAATATTACTTAAAGCTACTCTCTATTTAAACTAACCTCTATTTAAACTAAATAAATTTACTAAATAAATTTACTAAATAAACTTATTAATATATAAACTACTACTCTACTCTTAGTATATAGTTAGTAATTAGTAAGCTAGAACTCTTTAAAAATACCCGTTAATAAGTCTACCCCTCTCGGGCTAGGCGCCCTTAGCTAGCTCGACGCTATAGCTATTATAGCTAATATAAGTATATTTAAAAAATAGTAAAGTACTTTTTAGTAATACGGAATTTAGCTAAGTAATATTATAAGTACTATAAATAGCTAAATTAATATAGATATTAAAATTTAATATATCGATACCGGCCTAGTTATAATAGTTATAATAAACGGGCTAAAAGTATATAGGGTTAGGGTAATAAATTAGCGCCTTAAATAGCTCCTATAGGACCCCCCGGGCGATAATAATACTTATATAAAAAAAAAGATTATACTAGACCTAGCTACCTACGTAAGCTAGTACTAAGAGGTCCTATATACGTTAGAATAAGTAAAGCTCGCCCTATAAGTAGTTAGAACTTAGGAGGACTTTACGTAGCGAAAAGTTCAGAGCTATTTTAATTAGTAATTAAGTATAGAGCGTATTATACCTAGTTTTCCCTAATACGTAATACATAGTACGGCCCCGGCGGATTGCTCCGTTAGGGGGATTATTTATAATTATATTTATAAAACTTATATTATTAAATACTAGCGCTTTTTATAAGTCTAAGCTCGCTAAACTAATTATATTAAAAAGTATATTAAATAATTTAGCCTCGAGCTTTATATTTATTTTATTTTATACTATTAAATTTATTAGTTTTTATAAAGTTATTAACTTAGTTAAAAAGGGTATTATAAGTACATTTTAAATTATTAAAAATCGGTAAGTTTAGGATTTAAGTTATAAAAAAAAAAGAGGATCGGTTATTTAGAGTATAATAAGAAGCTATAGTTTAAAAAAAATACTTTATTTTAAATAAAAAATAGTTATAAGGGTAAATAGGGTAATAAGTTAATTTAGGGACCTTATATTTATTATTATTAATAAATATATTTTTATTATTAAAATAGTAATATTATTAGTTATTAATTAATCTTAATAACTTATTTAATAAGTTAAAAAGTATTACTAAACTATTTTATTATAAAATAAGAAGGTTATTAAGACTATTTATTAAGAAAAGAGGGGTTATATTTTAAAAAAAATTATAAAAAGGTAGTTTACTAAGTTTTTATTATTCTCTTAGGGAAATAGTAAGTAAAATATAAAATAAGCTTTATATTAAGGTAATTATCTATAAGAAATTACGTATTTTATAATATATTAACTAAGAGTTTAGTAATAAGGTTATATTACTTTTTAAAATTATTAATTTTATAAAATTAGTTAATATTAAGGCGGTTATTTTTTAAAGAAGGAGATAATAATAATTAGCTAGATAATAATAAAAAGTTATAATTAATTAATAAATTTTATAAAAAGGGAAGTCTCTTAATAAGGGTATTTTTTTAAAATTAGCCTTAGAGAACGTCTCTAATTTTAATTATAAAAGCTATTATAAATAAATATTATAAATTAAATTTCGAAACTTAATAATATAACCTAAGTATAAAAAGAATAAAAAAATAAAAACTTAGGATATTTTATAAGTATTTAATAAAATTTAATTATATTAATAATATTTCTTTAGACTAATTAAAAAGTAAAATAGCGACGCCCGTATAAGAGCGACGCCCGTATATTAATTTATAACGCCCGTATATTAATTCCCTTTAATAAAAGGTTTAAATATTTATTTATAATTACGTTTTTACTTATTTAAACCCTCTTTTAATAAATAACTCTTTATATAATAAATCGATTATATTACTCTTTTTACTAAATAAATATATTTTATATATATTATTTATTTTATATTTATATATTTATAACTATTCTAAATTAGTATAATATATAATATACTTATATAATATAAAAAATAATATAAATAATAGAGTAAACTCTTCTTTTTAATTATTCTTATAACAAAGATTTTTATTTTAATTATGCTTATATTTTACTTATATTAATTATTAATTAAAGGTTAACCTTTAATTTCTTTTCTTAACATGTCTTATAAATTTCAACTCATAAATTAAATCTTAAAATTATTCATAAATATAATAATATTTATTCGAATCAAAGAACTTTTTACTCATTAATATACTTTACTTTAATATAGTAGTTGTATTATTAATACCCTTAATTTTATAGCATAGTTAAATATCTTTATTATTAATATATAGTTGACGGCCGACCTCGTCTTAGCTACCTTGTTGAGTGCGGAGGAGAGTAGGGATTTCGCGGGCGTGACGATCATTGGTGGAACCTCCTGGCATCGATTCCACAATTACCTGTCAGATCTACTGACCAGAGTGTTTGTAGAGGTCCGCCATCAGGGTCCGCCACTGTCGCACACAGGGCGAGAGTGGCTACTCCATCCAATCAGTCGCCGCGTACCTCTCGGAGTATGACTCCGATGCGCTGAAGTGGTGCGACTGGCTGCAAGGGCTCCTTCATTGTACCAGGGAGAAAAGTCGCCTGAACATCATACTGCATCATTCGTGGTGATGGTGGTGATAAGCGTCCCACCAAACAACTTGTGACCCCGAGTAACTTACGGGTATAGCTGTTCCTTGCCAGTTCGTCATTTGGACTAATCTTCGCAACATTCAATGATAGCGCAGCCTTCCTGATGTCTATCTAATATCGACAGTCACTTTTAGACCAGGCCGAGACAGTTTCATATGAGCAACTGGCTTTCGATGCAGCGTTCTCTAACTTGGCACGAGTGGGCCATTTGCAGGCACACATTTTGGCTACGATTTTTCCTGCCATGTCGTCATTATGAAGGGCCTGGCATGTCATTCCCCGTCCTTGCATCGTCTATGAGCTCTCAGATTGTTTAAATAGGTTCAGTCTCTTTTCCTGTTTGACTTTAGTTGATGGGAAATCCTCTGTGACTCATCAGGTTCACATCATCATCGACCACGAACGAAGAGATCCAACCCCAGCACGCTTTATTCTTTCAGATAGCCCCTGCATTTGTGTTAGACCATGACCTCCTTTCATCATGGTGTAAGCCTAACCGATAGGAATGAAGCCTCCAAACAGGGAATATCTATCCCAGAGGCAGCTTCCAACTTTACTTCATTCGATTCTCCATTAGTTCTGACGACTGTTTCATTGGGGGCGCAGGGACAGGCTCTGGCCTGCACGAAAACTCCGATACCATGGCAAATGCCCTCCTATGATGATCTTGATGGAAGAATGTCCTCCGATAGGGATGCCGACCTCGCAAGCAGGACAATCGGTGCTCCAACGCCAGACCTACGCTTGTGTTCCGCAGCACCCGATCTGGCAGACGTGTTTGAGGAGGTGTTGCCAACGGAGAGGACAAGTGGACCGAAGCGTCGCAGCGGTCGTCCAAGACTCTCAAACAGCGACAGCAGCCCTAACCCCCTGCGAGCAGCCGAGACAAACCCCATTAAGGTGCGGACTCAGAATGTACGCCGCCGTCCCTCGTACACCTCGGCAAGCGACGACAGCAATAAGCAAGATTCAATCCGTGCACGCAATCGGCAGGCCGCACACAGGTGCCGAAAGAAGAAGCAGAAGGTCGATGAGGATCTCCAAACCCAAGAAATCGCCATCAACAACATCAATAAGCACCTTCAATGTGAGGCCGCCAACCTTCAATCTGAGATTCTCTGTTTGAAGAACATGGTGCTACAGCACAGCGGCTGTGCGTGTCGATCCATCGACGAATACATCGCTCAGGCGGCGCAAAATCTTGTGCAGGGGGCTCTAGCTACCATGCCTTCACTTCTTAGCGAAGCAGCCCCACCAGTGGAGGCAGATGTCCAGGCGAGCGGAATTTCATGGCAAGACGTAATTGAAGGACGGTGTTACGTTGGTTGGGACATGTTGGACAGGCCAACATGCCTCTACTCAGCTTTGGAGGCGCAGTCTTCGGTTTGATGCATGATGAATGCAACATAGCTTAACCCCAGCGTGGCAACTTATGAAGGGGTGCCGTGTGAGGACGAGGAAGCTAGAAGAGTCTCAAAGGTTGCAGTACATTGATGATATGAATTGAAGTAGGGAACTCTTGAATGTATTTTGTTTATGCTAGCGTCTTCGTTAGAAAAGGGCTGTTACTCGACGTGATTGCGTTCCTATGCCATTTAGACAAGAAAATTCTACCTGGGACAACATATCATATGGTTCATCCTCAATGATCACTGATCAGGGTGATGAGTACCATCTTGGCAAGCTAAGCTTAGTAGCCAGCTGAGCAGTTTGTGTCTTGACTGAGAATATAGGGTACCTATATAAGCAGTCATGGAACTTGCATACTTTTGAGAAACCCACTTCGCAAGGAACTTACAGCATCTATAGAGATTTGGTAACTATTCGCGACCAGTCTTGGGATTTACAAAGTAGCTTCAAGTACCTCAGGCTCAACTATCTTCTGCAGAATATTAATGGGGCATTTGTGCACGTCCAACGACCTACACTCCACGGCTTAGAGGGTACATCATCTGGGAAGAAGTCCAAGTTGCTCGTAACGGAGTTCTTAATGTCTATATCAATTCTAGTACGAGATATATCAATTCTACTACGAGAGAATGGCCTGCTATCTGTGGTTTTTTGGAAGTGTTGACTACAGTGTGTATAGATAGGTGCAGCAGCTTCTTCGCCTGATATGTGTGTCGCGCCCCTCAGCTGCTCTAGCAGCCTCATGAACATCTTTGCTACTTGTCTGCAATGCAATAACGCAGTTGGCAGCTTGACACTAACAATAATGCCGTCGGGTCGTCAAAGGCGTCTCGGGTCTAATGAAAGTTTTGTTTGATTGGTTCTCAAGCTAGACAAGCAACACTAGGCCGTAGCAGAAGGCAAATTCCATGGAGAAAACCTTCAGTCTTCGATCTGTCGCGCGACAGGATATATCAATCAGCAGACGGGTTTGAGAATCCCCCATGGACTGAGGTGCGATCATGGCCTTTGATTACCCGAAGTGCGGAAAAAGCAAGCTTAATCCAAGTTGTTCCGCTTTTGCATCCACGTGATCGGAGTTATGACTAAGCCCATAAACGATATCGGCGTGCTTCGTCATATTACCAAGGGATATTACCAAGGCTTAAGTTCCTGATCTCCACTTCCCTCCCATGCCAGCCGAATTCTGACCTTAGCCATTCCACGCGTAACACGTTTTCGGGGTCTACAATTCCAATTGTATCTGAACTCATCGCTTAATCGGCTTCACACCTGGGACCGCCTGCCCCCCTTTTTTTCACACTCTCTCGGAGACAGACAGTCTAGTCCCACTACAACGCAATGATCAGAAAGTTGGTCCCCCTGGCATCCGCCGGGGACAGTGCTCAGTCCTCCACATCCGAACAACCCTTTCAAGCAGACTCAAAGAGGAAACGCCAGCAGGCTGATATTGCTTGCAATGCTTGTCGAAGGAGGAAATCTCGCGTGAGTCTCGCTGCTGGACTGGCCTCTCCGTTGGCGACTTTGTTCTCAGTGTATCCTGGATGGCATTACCATTAATTCCACTGACGAACGGCGTCGCGCCAGTTGTAGTGTGACGGACTACGTCCAACTTGCGCTGCGTGTCAGAAGCGATCATCCGACTGCACCTACGCTCAGAAACGAGAAGCTCTTCAGTCGTCCTACGAATCCCATGAACCGCAGGAACTCCTTGACATTCTCAAGTCTGTAACGGAGCAACATGCCGTTCAGATTTTACGCCTCTGGAGGAGCGATACAGACATTGCTGCCGTACTTTCTTTCGCCAGAGGTGCGGTCAACGTAAAACCAAGTATGGCAGATGTTGTCGTTGACAAAGCCGAACCATCGGAGAACTCGTCTTTGGAGTTGGAACTGATGGCCAACTTCCCCACTGCCTACCCTAACCTTCGTACCATTCCAGCCACCGCACCGGAACGTGACGCACTACTTTGCCCCAATAGCTCACGCCGATCAAAGCCATTCGAAAACCAGTAAGTGTGTACCAACATTCCCTTTCCCTTCAAAAACCCTGTTGACGATTACAGACCGCCTGACGAAGGGGTTTCGTCTATCATGTCTGATGGTGCAGGTCAAAATACAAACGGTCCGTTTCATATGGCGGGACCGCCAGATGGGCAAGGAAATCCGGGACTCAGTATCTGTGACGATCGACTGCATCACCTCGACATCTCTTTCTGGACCACGGTCTCTATTTCCAATAACCTCGCAGCCCGCATATTGTCTGTATACCTTACAACTGATCATCCTCTGCTTGGCACCTTCGATCCAAACCTGTTCGTCTCCGATCTTGTCAATCGTCAGACAACCAATTGCTCCCGGCTTCTTGTCTGTACGGTGCTGTACTGGGGATGCGTAAGTGGACACAAGACCCGGTACGTGAATGATGGACAGATGAAAGACTGACAATGGGACTGTCGTGCTAGCAAATTTACGGTGCATTTGACCAAAAGGTCCGTGATTATACGAACTCGTTTTGCAACGAGGCTGAGGAGCTTTGGCTGCATGAGCAGCACAATGACACAAGCCTCAACGTTACCAGCGCCCAGTTGTTGAGCTTGGCTTATCTTGGGCACGGAAAAGATCATTATGTTTTGAGATTCCTCTCGGCTGCTATCGATATGGGGAAGAGGTTATACCTTCTTGACGTCGACCCCTCGCTGGCAAGGGGAAACCTGGCAAATCTTTCACCCGAGGTACAGAGGCGGATGGCATATACGGCGTGGGGGCTCTTCAATTGGGCGGTGTGCGTATATGATACGGGTTGTCCCATTCACAAGCAACCGCTAACTCTTTCGCATAGCCTCACCACAATGTTTTACCAACAACCAAACCTCCAATACCCCGAACATCCCCCCGTACTTCCAATACCGGATGGTGAGATAGCTGATGCATCACCTAAAAGGCTGGCTCATGTTGACGCTCATATGATAACTCCAGCTTCGCCTTGGTTCATGGGCCACACGTTTCCCGCACTTTGTTCATTCTGGAAAATTATGCAGGGCGTGAGTATTTCTTACTACAAGAATCGAGAAAGTCCGCTACAAGAGCATATAAACCTGAACTTTGCGGAACTTAAATATCGTGAACTTCTCGATTGGTCTCAAGCTCTACCACCAGATGCCGCCTTACGAGATGACAGTCCCCACCATGTAGTTATCCTGCAGTAAGCGCCAGACTAGCCCGAGGTCCGTCTTGCCCATACTTACTCTTTTCAGCATTTGGTTTCACGCTGCCGTTCTCGACATATTCCGGCCCTTTGTACACGGACCCCAGCGAGATCGTTCCCGTGTCTTATCCTTTTCCGAGCGACATCTGTCCCCGGATGATGCCTTTGGCACGTCCGTACGGCAACTCAAGCAATTAGTCATAAACTATCGCTGCTATCATAAATCCTCCACCTATACCATGCTATGGCAGACAGCCCTCATTTATGTCTCAAATGCCGTGCTCCACGACACACACGACCCTGAATGGCGTTTCTATTTCTTGGCATGTATATATGCTTATGAAGGTCTCCGAAAGTCATATCGTGTTGCGGAGCTGATATCTCGGGCACTGTTGACTATGGCGCTCCGTGGGGGATGCATGACAGTCAGTGAAGCCAATACTCTCGAAGTCCAAATGACGGAAGCAGGGGGGGGACTCTTGAAGGACGACGATGTTCGCGCCACATTCATGGTTGATCTTGACTTGGCCATGTCGAACCCCGAGGCGGCGAGGGTAGAGGTCCTTGCAAAAAGGTTCAATGAAATTGTCCTGTTTCGAGACCTTACTACCGTGGATGATGAAGAGGCGCAGAGCTTCCGCCGGCTATAGACGTCTGATCACTCTCCATAACTCTGCAGGCAACGTTCAAGGATAGCTAGAGTGATTAGACATGCTGTCGCAACGCCACATATAGCGCTGCATGTGCCTAGTATATTGCCGCACGAAACCACTTACCACGGAACGACCGCTTGTCTCGTAGAGTAATTTTATAAACGACCCATTATGGGTCTACCACTCAGAAGAATCAAGTTACTTTCTACTATATGTCTTCCATCTGAAAACTCGCTTCGTGATACGTGGAAGTAATGCGTACTGAAACACGAGACTCAACGGCACATGTCGACTGTGTAAAATCGGTAGCTAGTGCAGCTTATCTTGGGAAGAAACATCTGTCTGGCCCTGATTATATCAGTTTCGAGCTAAGTCACTAACTAAGTGAACGAGCCAAAAAAGGTAGTTTGCTGACAAACGTCTCCTGTTCACACCCTTGAATAAAAATAAGCGTCAGATGAAAGCTTATCTAAAGTGATAACCCCTCAGAATAAATAAGAGCCGGGGGCTTATAGTCAAGATGAGTTCGGTAGCGTAGGGAACGCGGTACTAGCTACTTAAGAGACCTAGTCAATCTGAGGCCATACTAGCCATTGAATCAAGGTAAGCCGCATCATTTGCGGTTCTATTCTTGTCTAACGCAGGTACATCAAGCGCCATCAAAGTCTCCAAGAGCCAAGTGCGTTCAGTGCGCAAATTCAAGCCACAATGATGAGGTAACGGTCACGCTCATTTCCTGTCTTCCTGCCACCGGTGATCTCAGCCTCTAATCACATCTCAAACTTTGCTCGTGCCTTCTTAAGATGCTACGTAGCTGGCAAGGTCGAAGCTCGCGAGAGTAACCAGGTATTATTAGCCGGGTTATTGGGTTTTGTGAGCATGTTCAGACCTATCTCTCGCCTTCTCTCGCGTAGCAATATTGGCGAGCTGGAAGAATCTTGGGAAAGGGGCGACGAATAACGATCCGAGATGGTGATCACATTTGCAGCGCTCCTGGGGCCGTTCTACTGGAAGTAGACTCTACTCCAGGCCGGCAAGAGGTGTCTAAGGGGCATATGAGCAATTGTAGGGAAGGAATCTTCCAAAATGCTGGAAGTTCTCAAAATCGCGGTTCTGATGGGAGTTCTCTTATCTACTCAAAATGGTTCACCCAGCAACGTTCGGGGCGCTCTGTAAGATGGAGGAAGTACAGATACTACTGCTCAGTAAATCAGAGCGCAAGCTCTGCTCCGACTGTAATGTCAAGAATCATCTTCTCTCACGTTCTTTAACACGTTACGCCGCAAGTAGCTCTGAACTATCTCAATAACATCGTACACCTGTGTATTGTTTCAAAATTTTGACCTTCAGTAATGTGAAGGATACTACTGGAGTTCGTCTCCTGAATGCATGTGAACCAGGTCCGAGCAAGCCTCAGCGTGATGCTTACCTCCGTAGCATCCCCGCCGTTCACCTCGATACCAACGAGACGGATCTGCGGCCGGTTCGAAGCCCACCGCGGATGCTCGCACAAGATCACACTGCTTAGCTACCAACGGCGCGGTGCCTTTTTCCGAGGTCGCTGGACTAGGCCAAGGAATTCCCACCAATAGGCCTGTGCCGAGCCCTGCACTACAACCTACCCTAGGGTCTCCCCCGCACACCCCCTAAGATCCCAAGACTCAACCCCAACGCTTCCCCTCGCGATCTTCTACCATCTTGACGCCAGACCGCTTCGCAGTTAATGCTTTGTGAAGTGCGTTCGAAGCCCGGGGTTTTTTGTTGAACTCTTTTCCGATGCGCACGCGGGGTCCCTCGTTCCCTATGTATTCTTATTTCCGAGTTCGACTACGATTAAAGTTGCCGTGCCTGGTCATCCTAGCCCTGAAGTGTCCAATGAGTCTATTTGACTTTTCCGTGTTCAGGGGCAGTGCTCCGTCACTCCGTCCGATATGATGCTCGCCCGAACTTTGAAGAAAAGAGAAGTGGGAATACCTTCGTCGTCCCCACTTGGACTACATCCTCCTCGGAGCGAGTTTGCTGATCGCTCGAAAGCCTTAAAGATGGGGCAGCCTGCTCTCCAGTTGCTGTCTTCGGAGCACCTCACATGAAGGCGAGATCGGGCTAGTATCGTTGCACCGCATCCATCCTCTGGCTGTTACTCTTCCTCTCCATCATGCGTTTCTCGCGATCAATGGCCCTTCTCGGAGCCGTAGCCGGCGTGGTCTCTTCCTACGGGATCGAACTGCCGGCGGGTGTACCCAGATCTCTGGAAGAGTTCCGTGACAAGCATCCCTACACGCCCTCGTCCCAAGGATGTGGACGCAAGACCTTTACGATCCGTGCTTCCCAGAACGCCACGGACGATGTGTCTGAGGAGCTCAATAAGGGTCTTCAGGAGGCCAATAATGGTGGGACCTTGTATCTACCCAAAAACCAGACGTTTGTGATCGCAAAAGCCCTCGACTTGACTTTTCTCAATGACATTCATGTTCGGCTGGAGGGCGAGATCAAGGTGAGATCTAGCATCGCAAAGGTTGTCGAAGATGACCTGACACAGTGGTCTAGTTCACCGATGATGTGAAATACTGGCAAGTACGTTATACGAAAAAAGCCACCCGCAGAAACAGAAGCGACGCGGCGTTGCTGACACTTAACTTCAGACAAATGCGTTCACGCATCCCTTCCAAGTAAGTCCCAGGTCCGATCTCATGCAGCCATGAACCCCTGCTGATGCGACATGACAGAAATCGATCATGTTCTGTAAGAAAGCCCGGTAATATGCATACTTAGAGGCTCTGCTCATAGTCTTATGTAGGGAAATGGGGTGGCAAGGACATCAAGATCTACGGTGATGGAGTCATCAACGGACAAGGGTTCGTAGACCAACAGCCGAAGCTTTCGCTCATGTCTAACACTCTGCATAGCCAACGCTGGTGGAACGAGTTTAACTCTGGCATCGGATCGTAAGTATTGACTCTTCAGACTGTCTTGAGGATATCATGCTGATCACCTTCAGGATTCTGGTATGACACACCATGGTCCGCTTCCATGAACGACAAGCAACTAACAGCCCAGAACCCCGACAACAAATACCTCCGGCCCATCCTTTTCTATGTGGAAAACACCACGAATTTGGAAGTTGAGGGCATCCACATGAAGGACTCTCCCTGCTGGACCAACTTCGTCGTCGGATGTAAGTCAGACTCACGGCAGCCGCTGTCTGCTTTCCCTAGGCGGTGAGATTCGGGCTAATCACCTATGTGCCAGCGAGCAACATTGAGTACAGAGATGTCATTGCCACTGCTATCACCAACAACGGCAGCATCATCCCCAAGAACACTGACTTCTTCGACTCTTTGGATGTTCAGGATGTAAAGATTGAGCGTGTCTGGGTTAACATTGACGACGACTGCTTTTCCCCGAAGTCCAACAACACCAATCTTTACGTGAACACCATGTACTGCAACGGTATGCGGTTTAACCCCTGGTTGTATATCAACAGCAGGCTAACATCATTATAGGTACCCACGGCCAGGTATATACTTGCACGGCCTTCCTCATGCTGTAATCTTGCTAACTTGACTCAGTCAATCGGTTCCTTGGGACAATACGCAGGGGAAATGTCATACGTCAAGGACGTTCACATTGAGAACGTTTGGATGTTGAACGGAGATGTGAGTCTGATCCAACGATTCTGGTTTTAACTTCTTCTAACGAGGCATTAGTACTCTGGTGCCCGCATCAAGACCTGGGCTGGCCCTAACGTGGGATACGGTTTCGTCGATAACATCACCTACAAGTGAGTATTTCTCCGTCTCGACATTCTTGGCCACGCATCTCTGACAATGATTGAAGGAACTTCTGGGTTGCTCGGATGGACTACGGAGTCATTCTTGACTCATGCTACTTCAACGTGGGTCTCCAACGATCGTGGTATGGGAAAGACCTTTGGTCCAGCTGACTGACTTCCGGCAGATCAACGAAACTACCTGCGAGCAATACCCGTCCGGCATGAATGTCTCCAACATTCTCTTCGAGAATTTCACCGGCTACACCAGCGGCATCTACGGCAACGCAGTCGCGAAGCTGACGTGCTCCACGAACCCCAACGCCGTGTGCCACAACATCAAGTTCAAGAATTTCAACGTCACGTCGCCTTGTGGTGGGGAACCTGTTATCATCTGCGATGGCGTAGATGGAGGTATCGACACTCCCTGTGTGAGCATCGACAGTGACGAGGCAAAAGCCGCTCTGGCGGCAAGGTGCCAGACTCCTCTAGCTCCGATTAACGAGAAGCCGTGGTAGATGATACATTGGTTGAGGGTGGCTTAAACCGGTAGGACAATTCTGGGACCCTTATCTGCGAGATAGCCTCATAGGCAGAGATGCGGTGCTCAAAGGAAGAAATTAAGCATCAAGATGTACATCAAATAATTACATGAATGAAATGTCCATAAACCGAACTCCTTGCTGAATGCATGCCCGTGCAAGTTGAAGACCTTACTGGCCATTGCTGCGAATTCGCAACTACTCAAGACTCAAGAACTACAACAGTGTTGACAGGGAACGTGATGCTCATGTTCTGGACAGGCAGGATGTCGGTTCCGGCAGTGGCATTCCAGGTGAGCCCATCTTCCTGGCGCTTGTAAAGGTGCTCGACGCCAAGGTACATGCGCTCACGGTCCGCGCCGGCCGTCCAAATCGTAAAGACTTGCGAATCCCCGCCGAGGGGGCTGTTGTCCGGGTTCAGGCAGGGGACCCAGCCCTGCTGGATGTAGATGGGGCTGCAGACAACGTTGAAGCCGGGCGCGCCGGCGCTGTAGCCCGCTGGAGCGCTAACGTTGAAGCGGGCACTGCAGCCACCTGGTGAGCAGCCCCAAATGTAGTTTTGTGCGGCCCAGGTGATGTTTCCTGGGGTCGTGGGATAAGTGGCGCTGCCGTCGGCCTGTCGACGCTCGGCGGTCGCGGCGTTATTTGAGATGCCGGTCCATCGGAGGGGAAGGGTTGCGGCAGAGGCACCGGCGATGAGAGCAGAGAAGGCGGTGATGAATTTGCTGACATACATCTTGGGGTGCTTGAAAGTTTGATGAGATGCGGGTCAGAAGATGATACTTTGTTTCTTTCTTTGTGATGAGAGATCTGGCTCGAAGTCGTTATGGGAAGGTTTGTCTTTTTGATGGGATACCCAAACTTGTGGAATGTGTGACAGGATTTGGAGATGCTTGCGGGGAGATGATGGTATTTCTAGCTACGTTATGGTGAATCGTTTGTGCGGTGAGGGACTGATTCAGACCCTGCAAAGAGGTGGGGACTCGTGTCTCAATAAATACAAGAAAGCTTCTCCCTAGGAACGTTGGAAAGCTATCAAACATCGTGACATTGGCACGCCACGAGAGGCGCGGGCATGGAAGATCACCACTCAGCGGTGCAGATCCCGTAAGAAGCATTTAAGCGGTCAGTGTGTGCCTGTGTGGCCCCCCAACTTCTCCGTGCGCAAAACCTCGTATCGGTAGTAGAAGGAATGGAGGTCTCACATGTGATGTCACTCTCAGCGTTGCTCTTCCCCGTGTCCGTCGACGCTAGTTGCCCGACGACAGCTGAGGAATGGGACCGATGGCTGTTCAGGGCCCGGTTCCGACTGGTTGATCCGTCCAATTGATGATGGTATTTTGAATCCCACAAAATCCCTTTCAACGAAAGACACGCATGGCGCGTGGACTGGACATGGAACCTACGTGGACCAAGCTGGAACACGAAAGTCGCAGCAGACCAAGTAATAGGAAGCAACGTCACATCTCAAAGCTATTTAGAATAGAGCTTAATCAGAGAGACAAATACCAGGAACAACGATTGCTATGGCATTTTGTCATCGGCAAAGCGGCAACGGTCCAGGCAGACATGGGGAGGACGGCTAACAGTCGTGTCTATTTTGGACGCAAGTTTCAAGGCTGACAAACCATGGTGCCGGCATCAACCGGTGCCAATCGATCTTCGTTACCACATGTATCCCTATGCGCTTGTCTTCATTGTGCTTCGAACAGGCCGTATGCGCTTTCGCTGACGTGCATAAGCAATCTCGATCCAACGTAGATGTGGGGGTTGTCGATCAACGTAGATGCGATAGGCGCTGGAGTTGAGCAAATAGGCAATACTCAAGAGTCTATCATCACTGATGCGATTATCCCTAGGAGGGAAAAGCCAGCAGTGAACTTATATCTAGACTTGAAACCATCGATGTACACTTGGTTCACTTGATCTTGGCAATGTGCATGTCAAAAACTTGCAATAAATACCTTGAGTAGATGCTTGTCCTACAGGCAAGGTATGCGTATATGCTTATGCTGACGATCTCTTGACAAATGCCTGCAGCGCTTCTACCGCTTCGGTTCTGCTTCGCTTTTCGACCAAACTCTGTATGACATTGTCCTGCTCTGATTCTGGCGCCATACCCTCATTCCTTGGCGGGTTGTTGTCCAAGTTCGTAGGGAACGGATATCCCTCTGCCACGGCCGCGATGAAAGACTTGACCCTGGCACTCAGCCCTTCGTTTTCGTATAGCTTGAGCAAGTGATCCCAGCTCTTTTCCACTAGTGGTATGGCATCCACGGACTCCATCGGCTTTCCAAAGGGGCTGCTGATCTGCAACAAATTCGCCATTCTGTACACATCGCTCGACTCGTTCTTGCCAGCCGCGTGGAAGAGCGCCGGGTTGAAGAAGAGCCCATCTCCCACCTCGAGCGGCAAAGCGACGTAATTGTTCAAGAAGAAGTCGTTAAACTCGGGGCGACGATACGAGACGTAGCCGGCTTCAAACGTCTGGCTGAACGGCAGCAGCCGCGTGGGACCGCTTTCCAGAGGCACCTCGGAGTGGGCGACGGCGCCCTGCAGCGTCAAGAGCTGGCTGGCGATCTGCATCGCCCGTGGGATCTGCGCGGCTGCTTCTGCCGTCTGGAAGCCAACATGGTAGTCGCGGTGGCAGACCTGCGGCGAGGCACCGGGCTTGGTGTTGTTGACCTGCGCTGTGATTCTGTAGCCATGTCCGAGCCACGCGCTCGAGATGAGGCCGAGGTATGGATTCGAATAGTAGTCTACAAAGGACGCCGGGTCCTTGAGGCCGTGTTTGCTGAACGAGTTCCAGATGCGGTCGTTTTTGCCAGCGCTGGCAAAATGGTCACCTTTTGCGGTTCCTGATTTCTTCTCGTCCTCGATGATTGATGCGAAAGCCGCGTTTGCTGACTGAATCAGCGCTTTGTCACGGAAAAGGCCCTTTGTGACAAAGACGCCTGGGCCAGAGATCAGTACGCGGTACCATTCGTCTTGCAGCTCTGTGCGTTCTGGGTCGCTCAAGGTTGAATATTCAGGGAGGTCGTAGATCGGTATGTTCTTTTCGATGGATGCGGCGAGCGGGTAATCCTCTGGAGAGGCTCGTTGGGAGCAGGTGGTTGCAAATCGTTCCACTGCTGTCGTTTCCGATTTTGAGAAGAGGCGAGGGGAGCCCACACTGGGAGAGTGACTGCCATTTGCTGGTCCGTTCTTGATAGCCATCTTGGAGTACTTATTTGAGGCGTTAGTGGAGAGATAATGGAACCTTATAGAGTAAGGTATGTTGTAACATTACCTCATGTTCTGCCGCTCGTGAAGGGAGAAGCGCGGGGTATTTAAGCTGAAAGGACCGTGTAGTAGGCTGGCGCTCTCCACATTCGGTAGAGAATCGAGACTTAGTTCTGACGTTGGAAGTCCGTAGTAAAGATGATCCAACCACAGCCTATGCGGAAACGCGGTTTTCTAGTCCTCTCCATCACTTCGATTCGCACACTGGCAGGAGTCCGAATAGGGCATTGTCTGACGAGGTCAAGCTGGGAATCGGGCACTCCTTTACCGGTCAGAATTGCCCAATTGAGCTCCGGATGGGTCCGCCGAGAACCGGCCCCATACGGAGATGCTCGCCGTCACAGAATCTCTCCCCCTCCAGCTGATCGCCTGGGGAAACATCTTGACTTATGAGTTGATATTCGGCGACGAACGTAGAAATCGGATTTTGTTGCATGATAATTGTCTCTGGGTGTACCTGACTTCTGGGGCCAAGGTAGGTGGGGACTTCGGAAACCAGTTTCCGAACGTCCTATGAGATCTTAGTGCGGCTCAGATTCTAGATCCTCTCCGGACTATAATTCCGACTAAGCTTACATCATGTCATTACTCATCATAATCCAGTAGTAACGCCTTGAGAAGTGATCATAAGGATGAAGCACTTGATTTGGGGAAACCTGGTGCCGCCCGATCCCTCGTCGAATCTAAACTCACTTGGGTGTCGCTACATTTCTGACTAAGGAGATTGACTTTAATCAACAGCACGATATTCCCTCGGACCAGATTTTGAGTTATCAGATTTCATCGCTAGGTTTGTCTGGAATCATTTCGGCACGGTACCGAGAATTCAAGGCTGCTCTACGTTGTGGCTTCACTACTAGCAAAGATCTAAGGATGAAGAAAAGTCTTTCATTGGACTGGATGCAACTTCTTCTTCGAGTAAGGCGTTCTTTTTCAGTAATTTGCTCATTAGTCTTTCTATCAGAGTACGTGCTCGAGCTCCCTTAACGCCTCAAACGTGCCAGTGGCGTTTGGGTCCCTTTGAGCACGTGCAATACGCGTACTGGGAGGCTTGATAATGGGAGTCTTGACCTATGGTAGTCGGGCTTTGAGAGTAAGGTAGTTATTCCATCATGCCGTCTCGAGAAGGTTCTGGGTCATAGAGCAAGGGCTTGTCACGAACGCCTTGCCGCGATGAGAGCAAGCAATTCATCATATAGCAACCCCAGATTCAATCTCAGTTCACAAGGTGCCAATCGGAGGAGAAGCTGAACCATAACGGCTCTATGTTAACTATTTTCTGGCAATCCTTGCGCTGGGGAGCCGTCTCAGAAACCGAGATCCCCGTCATGTCGAAAATCTGAAGAGGAGTGACTCGGGGAGTCCCGCGGGTCGGCTCTTTCGGACACGCCAGTACTTCATGTCTAGAGGCAAGACACCGGCCTTCTTTCGTATACTTTGAATAAGATTAAGGTTTAGCACGGGCCAGCTGTCGTTACTCTATTGCTACGATTCATTAGAATGAGGATGGACGACTCGGTATGCCGGATTGTGCGAGCTGACTTAGTACTGCCTCAATAGCGCTTTGCCTAGGTGAGTAGCGTTACTACGTGTTTCGGTCATCGATTTAGATACACGAAGTGTAATCCTAAAGTCGTAGATCCTTGATTCATGTCCAAGTGGCCAGTAGTCTGTGGTTGCGAATGTGTGCTTGAGATGCTCTTGATCCATGCTTCGGATACCTACGCAGAGCCCATGTTCGCAACGAGACTTTAATGAGAATGGTCTTTTGCTCCCAGGTACGATTGATAATCTTCACTACAAGCACCCAAGCATTGGAGTACATCTAACAGTCTTCGTCTATCCCAATGAAAAGCTCATCGAATAGTATCACGACCGTCCGGTGTGTTGTTGACCACATTTGGAGTGAACTTTAGCGCACATTCATTCGGTACAACATAGTCACTTTAGCGTCCAGCAAGTCCCCTGTACATCTGGACCTGGCGCCTACGCGCCCCGCGGTCAGCGCTACCGGTACGAACACGACCGAAGCAACTTACAAAGCCACATGGGCCAGGTAGCTAGCACACTTGGGTACATGCTGTAAAAGAACGTCCTTCTGCTAGTGGGCCTCGGTGCGGCCAAGAAGTGTCCACCGCCCCGTCATCTCTCGAATTTACCCCAGCCAAACTTCATCAACCTCCACACCTTCAATACAGATTCCGGAACACATATTCCAGAGGAGCAAGGCAGTATGCCCCAATCATCGAAGTCTGACGCCAAGAGGAGACATGTCACTACGGCATGCATTTCCTGTCGGGAAAGCAAGATCAAGGTATGCGCTGCCTTCCCCAGCCTTGTTCTCAAGTTTCCATCCTCCAGCTTCGATATCACGACGATGGCTTCAGGCTAGAACCTGTGGCATCCTAGTAACAAATTGTCAATAGTGTGACGGTGCAACTCCTTCATGCTCCAACTGCAGGACTAAGCACCGAGAGTGCCGTTACCAAGCCGGAGAGGACAAGCGCAAGTTAGATTCTCTTTGCAGTCTCTTGATTTCGAGCGTTTTGGTCAAGGCTTACAAACGCTAGGCTATCACTGCGCGTCGCAGTCGAATTGCTGTCGAGTAGAGTCGACCACCTTTGCCAGTTTATCAATCAGAATGGGCTACAACTCCCGCCTATGCCTTCAGAAGAGGCCAAAAGTCTGACACGGATACTAAACACTCTAGGCCTTTCGACGACCCAATTGGCTATAGAACGCGACAAAACACCACCGATTGACCCAGCTTTGTCCCTAGAGCCGCAAACATCAGCAGTCTGCGTCCCATCTAACAATACCATACTACCTCCAGATCAACTTCCCCTAGGCTTTTCACTACCTTTCGACCCGTCTTCCTTCAACTTAGGCAATGACGCGACCGTCGGGCTCGCACCACCGGTTCAAGACGGTTTGTTGAACTTAACAACGAGAGCGATTGCAGACTGGGAATGGAGCCCTTCTGAAAATGCCGATAACATCATCACAAATGGTGGTGGCATCGCCAGCGTCCAGACCACCAGCCATCCTCTGTTGAGCACGTACTCCGGAGAGGCTGCTTTGAGCGACAATGAAGAGGACGATGCCGGCTCAGGCACAACGGAAGAGGACCTAGTCAACCAGTTATCTGATAGACTAGGGTCTCTCCAAATTGGTCCCAATGGTCATATCTCCTATTTCGGACCAACATCTAACTTTAGCTTGATGGAACTACCTGTGGGAGCCGATACTTTGGCTGTGGATCGAACCGTGCGCAACGATGGCCAAGAACACCTCGACAACATGGGCTACGGCAAACAGGTACCGCAAGATCTCGAAGATCATCTGATCAACCTTTACTTCACATGGCAGGACCCCTTTCAGCATGTAGTCGACAGGACTCTTTACGACGAAGCGAAGCATAGTTGGCACGAGCGAGAGGAAGACACACCATATTATTCCGAGGCACTTAGAAATGCAATGTTAGTTCAAATATTGCTTCAACCTCTCAACTCTTTTGTTGATTGATAATGCTAATCCTTTTGCAGGTGTTCGTTAGGGGCTACCTTCGAAACACGATATCACCCGAGCTTTATAACCTTCCCAAAGTCTCTTCCGGATTTCTTCGCCGCAAGAGCCAAGACTCTTTTAGAGATCGAACTAGACTCGCCTTCCGTCTCTACGGTACAAGCAATGATTGTTCTTAGTAGCCATGAGATAGGCGCGAATAGGGACTCTCGCGGTTGGTTGTATAGTGGTATAGTCACCCCAGCTTATCACATGTGACATGTGTGGACTATGAGACAAGAGGAACTAACAGCTCTCGATCTAGCAATGGCGATTCGGCTCGCGTTTGATTTGGCATTACACAAGGATATGACACCGTACGTAGACAAGGGTGTTCTTAAACCCGCTGAAGCAGAGCTTCGTCGCGCTGTATTCTGGAGCGCATACACAATGGATCAGTAAGCTTCTGGCGCCGCTGCCAACATTGTTGGGGCTGTGGTCTGACTCTACAAATTCTCAAGGACGCTCGGATTTTACAGAGGTCGGCCTTTTCGTATCAGCATGGATGATATCACAGTTGGGAAACCAACAGAAGACTCATCAGATGGGCGGATCGAGCAATGGCTTCCTTACGTTTCGCGCCTTAGCAACGGCAACGCCCCAGTACCCATCCAGGATTACACTGAGGTCATCAGTCTATACCGCATAGAGTTGTGCGAAATCATGGCGCCTCTTGGTCACACGCTGTGAGTGAATCGCCCGAATAGTAATGTTTCTGTCTGATTTAGTGGAACTAAATGCTCTCGTGGTAGATACGGCAACTCTCGGATTCCGCGGGATATATTACAGGCCAACAACGAGAAGATTGTCTCGATATTATTTGCTTGGAAGCAGAACCTGCCACGTACGATACAAGTCGATCTAGAAGACTCAGAGGGACCATTCCTTCCTCATGTTCTTCTGTTGCAGTGAGTTTAAATCCACATTGTTGATTCCTGTCGCCATGCGGCTCTCGCTCACCTTTTTGTGCCCAGTATGCAATATTATCAAAACGTGATACATGCCCATAGGCCGTGGATGTCGTCGAGCTACATTCAACCACAGCCACCTCAAGGTCCCGGCTACATGCACGCGCAACAAATGTGCATTGAGTCAGCAGCCGCAGTGGCAAAGCTGATCCTCATTTACGAACGCCAATACTCCCTCAAGCGAGTTCATATCCAAGGCGTGGCCATCATCTTCTCTGCAGCCATCATACTCATCTTCGCATCTATATCCCGCCGCAGACGGAAGAGGACCACGGAGACGGCGACACACTTGAGCGTATGCTTCCGGGCTCTGGAGGAGCTTTCAGGCACTTGGGAGTGCGCCAAGCGGTCTCGGGATTTTCTTCTCATGCTGCAACGTAAGTGGGAGTTGCGCTCTCGCCGGCTGAGTCAATGTCCGTCACGTAACGCCATGCTACCGTCCGGCCTCGGCACCCTACGGCAGAGCGAGCAGGCGTCTCGGAAACGAGCACGTACCGACAGTCCGGCCGGGTCGAAGAGCATAGGCAGTTTTCAGAGCATATCTCCTGTTCATCAAGGGGAGCAGCGAGAATACCACGAGGGCATTGATATGGACATGAGATTGGATCTTGACTGGGTGTTTGCCGCGGGAACACAGCCCATGCCAGGCAATTGGGACCAATTGCTGAATACGGATACGCTCTATTTCAATCCAAACAGAACAGCGTAACGTGTGGCATCCCCCGTAGTCGAGGATCACATTACGAATTTAGCTTGTCATCCTGCGTGAGCTGAGTTGGGTCTTTGCGTGATACATGGGTGCTGGATTCGATGTCTCGCGTGACGCTGCTGGCCGAGCCACTCCTGCATGAAGTGGATATAATTGGACGCAATGTCGTGACAGGGGCGCTTACGCCCAACACCCAGCTGGACAGGCAGAATACCAGAGCCTCGCCAACCTCACGTCTGCACCTCAACACACTAACAGTCACTCAAGCAAGATCACAATGTCGTTTTCAGATGATCGGCTCTGTCGCAACTGCACCAAGCTAAATCTTCAGGCAGTCTTCGACCCGGCTCGTTTTGACGGTCTTCCGGCCATTGGCTCGGCTCAGAGTTACAAGACCAGCTGGACCAAATACATCCAGCATGTTGGAGACTGGAGACCACTCACCCGAGAGGATAGGATCAGTCAATACCCCCCAGGCATAATCCCAAGTTGCCCGTTCTGTGATTTGGTCTTCTCCATTGGCTTCAACCTGAACCGCTATCCGATGGCCGAGAAGGAGAAGATCATGTTAGCGATCCCCGCCAATCTGCTCTACAACTTTGCTGAGAAGGCGAAGCTTGGAGATGGCGGGGAACGTCCAGACTTCAACTCCGTACTCCTTCTCGTCATGAATCCCTCACACTACAAGACAGCATCCGCTCAGTACTTTGGCAATACCAGTGCTGGTGGCGGCTTGACAGCGTGGATCCGTTTCGCCCATCGAGAGGCGCCAGGAAGTCTGGTCTCTCTTGCATCCACTGCTATCTTGGAGCCCACTCGACCTCTTCTGGACCTTCCGATGCAAGCTAGAGTCTTGCGCGAGGAGAGAATCGACTACGGCCTCGTTCGATCGTGGATACACCTATGCGAGAATCATCACGATGCATGTCGTACCAGCCCAGACTGGCAGACTCTCCCTCACTTCAAGCTCATAGACTGCGAGACCCGTCAAATCATCAACACAGACCCAGCCACTAGGTATTGCTACGTAGCGTTGAGCTACGTTTGGGGAGTCGCGCCTCTAGACAGGTACACATACCCCTGTCTGCCGGACGACCTTCCGCCGGTCATTCAAGACGCCATGAGGGCCACCATCAAACTCGGCTTCCGCTACATCTGGATTGATAGATATTGCATCTGGCAAGACGACGCAACTCACAAGATGAGTCAGGTGGAGAGTATGGACCAGATCTACGGCGACGCAGAACTCAGCATCATCGCCATCGGCGCCAAAGACCCGAGCTACGGGCTGCCGGGCTTGTCTCTCGGCCGAACGCAACATGTTCCAATCACCAAAACAATCGGCGAGCAAGGAATCGTCACAAATTTCAGCCACCAGTGGCAACTAGACCAGATCTCCCGATCAAAGTGGTCCACGCGGGGGTGGACGTTCCAAGAGACGTGTCTGTCGAGGAGAAGACTCTACTTTTCCAACTATGAGGTCTCATTTGAGTGTCACGATATGATGTGCTTTGAACACCTCACGCGTCCTCTTGCTTTGCAGGGGAATCTGGAGCACCACGAGAGGCCCGAGTGGACTCTCCTCAACACCCCAGACGGTGTCTGGGCTATACTTCAAAAGTACTGCGATCGCCAGCTGACATACTCAAGCGACAGACTCGCTGCAGTATCTGGAGTGTTGAAGAAATGGTCACGAGTCAATCCAGGATGCTTTTCGTACTGGGGCATCCCGATAGTCGCCTCCGGCTGGCTGGTAGTAGACGCCACTGCTTCAAGACGCGCCTTTCTCGCTGGACTCCAATGGGAGATTCGGCCTGAAGGAAAGAACTATGCCAGGTTGGCAGATTTTCCCAGCTGGTCGTGGGTATCCCAGAATGGGAAGACGTTGTTTGGTCACCAAGGCCACTTCCATCTGAGGCCTCCCAAGTTAGTGGAACTTACAGAAAACTTTGACTCAGAGGTTTGGGTGGAAACGCCTCAGGGCAACATGGTTGGATGGGCCGACTTCTTTGAGACTGGTGGTCTTGATTCGTCAATCATGCAATGTACCAGGTATCTTCACATCGAATGCTGGTCATTTCAGACCGGGCCCCTCTGCTATCGGAAGATCAAACGGCGTTCAGGCACCTCGCACGACGACATGTTCTATCTCCCAACAACACGCAAACCCTCTGATGGAAAAGGAGAGTTTGTTATCAAGTTCACCCCAGACTTCGGATACGAAGATACCTTCCTCGACCGAAAACTTACGGCAATATGCTTCTCGCCTCTGGAGCACGCAACGTGCGCTATAGTTCTTGAGTCTGTCCCTGGCCTCACGGTGAGAATCGGGTTACTAGCATTTATGAGGATCGAAGATTTGGGTTCACACGAATCGCAAAGTGCTGAGAATCTGCCTTTTTCTAGCCTTCCATTCGTTCCGCAGAGGCGTTGTTTCCGGTTGGGATAAGTATAGGGTAGGAAGACTCTTTCTTCTCCAATCTGTACTCTTGTCACTAGTAGCTTTCGACAGTTTATAGCTTCGAGAGAGACCTCTGTTTTGATCAACGAGATATGTCTGCTAGCCGAGAGAGACCTATCTGTTAAGCATCTTGACATTTTCAAAGTGCCGTTGAAATACACAGTTGTGTAGTCAATCTACTTCTGCTAAATTTTTTTGATGAGGTTCGAATCCTAACTACTCTTCATTATACGTTGTTGGTCCCTTCCAAGCGTGCGAAAGCTCTCCTTAGAGGCTTGTCAACCTCATGAACTCCCGAACGCATCCTTGGAGCCCGTTTGTTTATGCACATCCACCTGAAGACACTCCAGAGCCTCCACGTATGCAGACTGGGCCCCCATCCTCGCCTCCATTTCCTTCGCGGTGGAAGCGGCCATGCTCAAGACAGCCTGTAAGCGGGCCTTTGCAGTGAAGCGAACGAGATTGTCCCAGATCAAGCTGAGGGGGTGATGTTCGCCAAATATGGCCTGGTGCATCCTACACACAAAGACAAGGAGCGACTCCGCGAGGTTGGGTTCCAGGTCGAAGATGTCGTGGAATGTTAGTAAAAGCAACTCGGGGTCTTGTTCCCTTATAAGATGCTTCAGAAAATCAAGTTGCTTGTTGAGAAGGCGGAAGGCAGCAGTTGTTTCCTTGCTGCTCAGCAGTACGTGTACGTCGGCCATGTCATTGTGCCACTTCCGGACCCTTTGCCTGGCTGGTTCACCGTTTGGTCCGTAGAGAACATGCCCGTCAATGGCTACTAAACCTGTTTCAAATGCCCCATCAAGGTTGGAATGGATAATCCTTATGGAGTTGTCAAGCAGGCGCAGATCTGAATGCGGTTCTATCCGACGAGGAATTTCGTTTTTGAGTAAGGTCGGCGAGGGTGTAGAGCATGTGATGTCTAAACTCGTATCTAGATATCTTGCAATATCGACGCTAGACGTATCTTGTAGGTCGGGTCTATGTTTCAGATACTGCATCACCCGTTCCCAGTTGACTTCTTGGCCTCGGAGAAAGAATTGCGAGCGCTTCCCTGCAGCTTCGCGGTCCTCCTTTTGTCGAAGCATCACCATTACTTCGGCTTCTTTAAGTTTCTTGTCTAGCTTCCACGTACTCAGTCTTGACTTGTACATCTTAGTTCTGGGCGAGGTTCAGTCAGAAAGTTATAGCTGTGATTTGATGTTGACTTACGTTGCATGGAAATGATAGTGGGATTCCATGATCTCGCTAACTTGTCTCAGGGATCTATTCTCATCTCGATAGAGCTTGGTGATAGTAGGCTGCATACGGTGCCAATCCTTTTCAGTTGCATATGTCTTGCCCGCGCGGACACTTTGGGACTTCGAGAGGGTGCTCATAGTGCGGGCTATGGTCTGAGATACGGATAGTAGGCGAGCTCCGGACGAAGAAAGCAAGATTCCAAGCAGTATGAAGAGATGAGAGTGATTACAAGGCGTATTTAAGTCTCTTGAAAGTTCCCCAATCGAGGATATAGCGTCTAGTCTCAACGCGTGTGTGAGCAAGATTTCATGTCAGCCTTGTCGAGTTAGGTAAGTTCACTAGCATGCAAGATCGAATGGGCTTGCGGGAAGAGGCCAATTTTGAGATGTTGACTTCTCAAGTTGGCAGCAGGATGGTTGCACAGGCTGGGATTTCTTCGGCCGTAAGCCGGGTGGGCATGCACGGTATGTTTAAGACATATCGTTGGAAAGAAATGGACATGATCGCGCCCTGCTGCGCCGAGTTGGGGGCACAGCATTTGGAGGCTGTGTGGACCTCGCGCCTCTCCGAATCCGAAGACCGCAAATCCCCTTAACAATAATCAACTTGGCTCTCGATTCCCTTCTATAGCTACGCGATCCATGCAGTGTCTGTGATCCACGTAAAGTGGTGTTCGCTTTGACGGCGGTCAGAATGAGATGATCGAGATCGCAGTCTGTACATTGAATCACCCGTATCACCAGCAAAGACAAGGTATCACACCGGGACATAGTCAGTTCGCATCATTGTACTTCTAGGAACATTGAACGCTTGGCTAGTTACTCGAGTGCCTTACTTGGTACTCGACTCTCGATGTACCCCTAAATCATCATGAACTCTCCAACTCCAACCAACGCCTCAAACCCCCAAAGATCAAAAGTATGCATGAGGCATATTTCCCGACTCGTCATAATCCCCAAACGAATTATCCGGACCAGGCCAGCTTTGGTAAAGCTCAAAGAGATCAGCAAAGGTCATCCCCGCCCCTCCCTGTCGAGCACGCGCCGCTTCCCCAAACGCGGGACCATACCCGTACCATCCACCTCCGTAGTGACCTGGCGGGGGTCCATAGCTCGGCCGGAAGGCACCGCCGTTCCTACCGGGTCCAGAAGTTGCTGGTTCGGGGCCGGGATTGCCTTCTCTCCCACCACCACCTTGACCGCCAGGCCCATCGGTACGGCCCTGGTCAGGTTCAGGTCCAGAGCCGGAGCCGGGGCCGGAACGAGGATCGAACGAACCAGCACCGCCTCCACCGAAACTTCCAAAGATATCCCCAAACAAATCCTCAAACCGAATCTCCTCAGTCGGCCCAAAGTCATCGTCACCCATCTCCCCAAACCCATCACCAGGGCCCAAACCAAATCCACCGCCTCTGGCATCAGCCTGCTGCTGTCTCCGCCGCCAGTGCTCTCTCTGCAGCGCTTCAAGGAACGCCCTCGCAGCAGCAGAAGCCTCTCTCACACGATCATTATCGTGTCCAGAGCCGTTCGCTTGGCCGAAGCCACCAAAAGCGGGATACCGCGGCGGCTGCTGCTGCTGCTGCTGCTGATCGTGTTGATGCTGCTGCTCACCTTCCTCTTCTGGTTGCCATTGTGGATCGTGCCTGTGTCGCTGTTGGTTCTGTTCTCGTTCTTGCTGTTGCTCTTGCCGCCGCCGCTGCTCGTTACGCAGATTCTCCTCGTAAAAGCGACCCGTACCGTAGTAGATCCCTCCAGGCAAGCCACCGACGGGTATATCCCCATGCCCATAGCCACGCTGCTGACGGCCTCCTCCCCCTCCAGAGCCAGGGCCTTGCTGGCCGCGAGGTGTGTTCCGATCGGAGCTGGCTTCGGAGTATCCGTCGAATACGTAGGCCATTGTATCTTGATCGCTCTCGGCCCAGACCATATGAAACTTCTGAGGATTCAAGAGCTTCTTTTCTGTTGACTGATGCTGTTGGTTGTTGTTCCTGTTGTCCGGTGTTTAAGTGGAATTCCGAGGTAGGTGATATGGCAAAGTGCCAAGCCTATTTATATGTTTGTCAAAGGTTGCACGAATTAGTGATTCACAGTCTCGGCTTGTTTGAGCATAGTGGTGATGTGGAAGCGTGTTTGATCGTTGATTGCCAAAGGCAAGCAGCTGTGATTCAGGAACTAAAGACACACGTCACGCGAATATGGAAGCTTTCAGCTCGGGGTATGAACTAGCATTTGTTACAAGCGCAGTAATTTGCGCCAAACGTCTATGTACTGGCTCCGATATCGTAGCGCATTGCCGCGATGAAAAATAATACGGGCTCTCGTCCCCTGCCTCAAGGGAGAGAACCGGCGTTTTATGTCTGTTTACCTGCTTTGATAGGTAAAGCCGGGTATAATAGAAAACATACATTACAGGTATCCAGGATCCGTTTAAACGTATGATGGCTCCTAAACAACGCCACGCAGAAAACAATCAAAGAAATGGGTAATTATGTCGCGGTAGTGCTTGTTTCGTTGCGCAAGGAGACGGGTCCTTGAAACCCTGTCGTTGGTCTGACGTTCTGCATTTCCATACCCTGAATGTCGACCTTCTGATCCCGGAGAGCACCGAGGCGTTGATCACCACCAATATACCTCTTCTTGAATTGGTAGTAGGTAGGAGGCCTCGGTCGGCAGAGGACGACGATCCAGTTCTTGAGCATGCTGCCCTGAGTGAAGGCTCGGAACCGCTCTGCCTTGATGAACTTGTGAGAGTTGATGTACTCTCTCGTTGTTTCGCCTCGAGCCATGAGGAAGATGTGGTAGCCCATGAGGGCAGCAGGGTATAAGAAGGCAATGAAGCCGTAGATGACCATAGCGAAGGGAACGCGGAAGTCGTCGATGGATTTACCAAAGGAAATATCGGATCGGTGCATGTGTACGAGAATTTGGCCTAGAGAGGCGCCAAGGAGGTAGAGAGAGAGGAAGGTTGCCGAGGAGACGAAAGCAAAGAAATATCGGTAATTGCGTTTTCCGACACAGTTGTTGAGCCAAACGCAGTGGTGATCGTGGGTCTCGATGCAGTTGTCGCACAGTCGGCAGTGATGAGCCCGAGGAGGCCGCCAAATGTTACATGTTCTACAATGTTTTACTGGAACTTCCATGGCGGCCGTGGCTGACTCTGCTGACTTGATCAGCGTCCAGTCGTTGGTCGGAGGCCCGAGCCGGAGAGGATCCTCTGTCGAATCAGCCGGTGGAAAGGCATGAAGGTTTCGCGGCAAAATCTATGCGCGGTTAGCTATATTCTTACCGAAGTAAGTGTGTCACAACTTACGCCTGGGTCCGACAGGGATGCGTGGAGGAACGAGGAAATGCAAATGTAGGAGACGTATCCGAAAGTGATTGGGATGGCAGGACTGATGTTATGCCATATCCAAGGGGCTGAGAAGACGAAGAATAGGACGGCGGGAATAATGATGAACAGCCCAGTGGCTACGTTGACTGGCCGATGCTTGGTGTTCTGGAATCGCCCTCCCAAGCAGAAGACAGTATTGCCTTCGAAGTACTGGAAAACATAGCCAAGGTTTGTCTTGGACTTCTTCAAGTTGTTCTTGTCGGCGGGTCTCGAAGAGTCTACTGGGTTGAGCTGCGGCGTGGATGCGGTCGATGAAAGCTTTTCGCCGCCAGGTAGAGTCCGGTTAGACTTGTTCTGGTCACTTCTGCCTGGCAGCAAGAAACTTGAGCGGAAAGATCGCGGCGATTTGATAGGGCTAGGTTGATTGCCTCGTTCTCTGAAGCCCCTGTCGACATTGACGCTCAGGTTTCGGCTATTGCGCTGGTTCCGTTGCAGCGGCGTGACGCTCTCGGACATACTACCGGCAGCATAGTGACCATGAGTCGGGCTCGTGTTGGCGGTGATTCGATCGTACGTTCCTTGGTCGGTGTATTCGGTTCCGCGAGACGGAGGTGGTCTCATGTTGTCGTCGTCGCTAAGCTGCCGCTGGAGGCGCGCAACGGGATTCGAAACCGGGTTTGAGATGACGCTGTGCCGAGCATTTGGTCCTCCACTGGCTACAGCTGCTGCTGCGGCGGCACTCTGGTTGTGTTCGGGTGTAGGTTCGGTATCCTCCAATGTAGGTTGCTGACGGGTCGCAGGTCGTGAACCACCACGCTGGGCTTGCAGCTTTTGGGAACTCATGGGACGAAAGAAGGCTGAAGACGTAAGAGACGGAACATGACTTCGACTTGTCGAGCTAGGCGGTCTGCTGCTGATCGAACCAGCGGTACTACCGCCTCCGATGCTTCCCCTCTTCTCGTTGAGACTGGTAATGTAATTCATTCGTGGGGGCGGACCCCGTCTCCGGCCTTCGAGGGGTCCAGACATGCCTGTCTTGGCCGTCCCTGGCCGTGACACAGTTTCTGAAGCCAGACCAGATTTTCTGCGCGGATTTTCGGACAAGGTCTGGGCTACAGCATCCCCGCCGTCGTCGGACGCGATGTCGGTCATTCGCGACGAGATGATACTCGGCGGGCCTGGTCGGTCGGAGCGTCCAGGAAATTGGGGTTTCGGAAAGCCGCCATCGTCGGTTGGCGTGCTAGGCCCACCGGCCTGTTCTTTTGAAGTCATTTTGAGCGCTGATGTCGCAGGCGGATCGGCGGCGCAATGATGTTGGAAAGTTCGCAAGTTTCCTCCACTATAACATGTCGCTTTTTTGACGTGTTGATAGAAGGGTATCGTGAGGTTGGGAGAAGAGTTTGTCAAGAGCGGCCGGGGGGGAGGGTGGTGGTCGGTCTTGAAATTGGCGCTTTGACGTGAGGTTGTGATGACTATCGCGCGGGACGAAGGGTTCGGTAGGTTCGGAGACTGGATCGTGGAAGGTTTGGAAAAGGCTGAAGCGCAAAAGTCTGCGGTCGGAATGTGGTATTAAAAAGAGGTCGTGCAAAGGAATAGGAAAAGGCCCGTGTATTAAGGCGAGGGAGTGAATCGATTGGTATCGTTTGTCGTATTGTATCGTGTAGAGAGAGTGGGAGAGAGAGACGGAGAAAGGAAGGTTGGGATGGCGAGCGAGCCGTGAATGAGCGAAGCGAAGAAGACGTCGGACAAGACTCAGAGTCTCGTCTTGTGCCTGGTGTTGCTTTTTCGAGACCAGAAAGCGACCCAGTCCAGGCATGGATTGCCCAACAGCGACGGAGAAGGATTGGATTGGAGCACCGCAGCGCAAGTCGAACGGGGGGGTTTTTCTTGGGTATGCTGGGCTGGATTCGCTGCAAGGCTTTACCATACGGATACTGCGACCCAATGTAAGGGGCGGCATAACCTGGGTATCCGTGCTTTGTGCATGTGGGAGGTTGCATAGAACCCTGATCTGGTTAAGCTCAGATAGTGCAGGATGTAGCTGCCGTCTGTCATCACTAACATTCCTCCGCCTGTATCACGGCTTCTTCACGATAGTGCCTGCGCTCAAGCCCCCTGCGAAACGGCTTTGGCCGCGTTGTTATGCAGGCGCCGGTGCAACTAGGCCAGGCCAATTTAATTACAATTGCCGGATCTGGGTCCCAGCTTTAAATTGCTACAGCAGCAACAGGCCAACAGCACGCGGCGCCGCGATGGCTGCAGTGCCGGGGTGATGAGATGGGGAGCACGGCGGACGAAGGAGCGTGTCTTTCGCTCAGGTACCCGTCTTCGATGCCTTTGCCCTACGGACAGTCGGACACCACCAGTACGGGATAGCAATTAGCATAAAACGCACAGGCCATGGTTGTTCTAGCCTTTAATTTACTCTCCAGTCTCTACGAACCTAAACTGGCGATGTTTCTCAGCCTCCAGTTCCTCCACTCTCATCGCTGACATGTGAGGAATGCTAAACCGTTGTTTTGGTCTTGCTTATATTCCGTGGCTTAAGACGCGTCTCGCCCTCTCGCTGAATGCCGTTGAACTGCTGCAACGCTGAGGGTTCCCGGAATGATCTCTTTCATCTGCTGGGTTGGTCCTCGCTCGGAACGCTTTCGTCCGAGCAGCATCGCCAGGGAAATGCTTGGGACACGGCACGAACAGGGCCAATCGCACACAATCCAAGCATGCACCGCAGTGAGTGAGACGTCTTGAATCCGATCCTCATCCATGAAATTCACTGCTTCAACATGTAGGAGAATGCGATTATGCCGCCATTGTCAGCACCAATGCGGTCCCGTTCACTATCCGTACATTATGGCTTGTCTGCTCAAACATGGGATACCCTGACCATCTGGGGTCTTCTGACAGTTTGCACCATATGACTGTTTTTGACAATCGACGCACGTTTCTGCGGATGAACCGCGCTCTACATACTCCAGCCTCGTGGGTATGAGCCTGTTAGAATGGTTGCTATCGAAGACGGAAACTACAGTCACATTCTTCTGAGCGACGGTAGATCTATCAGCATCATTGCTTCCCATTCTATCCACGGACTCCCTAAAGCATAAGCTCTCGGCGATACTTGAGGTGTGATAAGCAAAATACCTCACACGATCTTGAGCCAATCGAGCATAGACACTACCACGATGATATAGGCTGCTGATGCATCTTGATGCTGACGGAGATGTTCGCCAGGCATAATGTGAGACTTCAATGAGGACAAGCACGCAAGCCCCGATGCGACAAATTGTCCAGGATAAGCTCTGTGTTCGGAAGTACCGGTCCCCCGGGCTCCGAGTTTAATGCCAGCCTCTCCGTATTGTAAGGCAGCCTCTTGATTTGTTCTCAATTGTTTGTTGAGACTATCTATTCTCGCAGTGTTTGTTCAATATCGTTCTAGAACATAAAACTCGGACAGTCACGCTATATTTCACTTGAATATGATAAGCTCATGGGCCAGCGAAGCTTCAATCTGCAGCTAATAGCTCACCATAACCTGAAAGGCCGCTCCATGTGTCGATGCAAATAACGCAAAAACAGCCAGGATCAAAGTGAAAGCATCTCCATCTTTCCCACTGCTGGCAGATACTTGCCATAGCAGGACTCTCACATGCTAGGAAGCCGTTAGTGAATTATACTGCTTAGTGAAGCGAAGCCTTTAAGCGCATAAGAGACATCTATCCGGTGCAGGATGAGGTAATGCCCACATCGTCCTCGATTGACCAATCACCTTCCACTCGTAAGCCCGGCCAATCGTTTCTCCCGAATTTCAACCTTGGGATCCTGTCTCGACGAACCTGAAGCTCCGAAATCATACGACAAGCCGACACCACTCACAACATCACACCCCAACGACACCCCGTCAACCACCGCAACAATGGCCTCCTTCGTCGCCCGCCGCGCCTTCTCTACCTCCATCCGCCGCTTCGCCGACGAGCAGGCCAAGCAGACCCTCACCCAGGAGTCCAAGCGCAACCCCGAGACCCTCGTGCGTGATATCCCGCCCATCCAGCCGAGATGCCCTTAGACCGACCCGTCCGCCGTCCAACGTCCACCGCATCCCTTCCCCCGCGCAGCCGAGCTTCTGAAGCAACCAGGAAATATTGCCGAGCCTACGAAGAAGCGATAGTTGCGCAAAGGGGTGCGGACAGAAAGGCTGGAAGCGGCGTCAAAACAATCGCATGCAAGCGAGTCGGAATGGAAGGCTAATCGGATTTTTTTGTCAAACAGATCCTCGGTGGTGTCATGGTTGCCGCCCTCGGCGGTGCCGGCCTCTACTTCGGTACGTCTCAGGAATAATTGGTATATCCTCCTCGACGATTGAACAGCCACTGACGGTTTTTTTTTTTCTTCCCGCGCAGGCCGCTCCCCCACCTCCTCTACCTCCGAGAGCCCCGTTTTGAAGGCCGGTATGCCCTGGGAGACCGACAGCGAGGGCAAGTACAAGTACCACCCCGGTGGCAACCCCGCAAACGAGCCCAGAGACGCTCCCAGCGCCGTCAACACTGTCATCATTCCCGATGTCACTCTCCCCAAGGTGCGTTTTTGATATACCTATCTGATCCATCTCACCACGTCGGAGAGACTCCGTTCGTGGGAGGTCGAGTTTGCTCCAAGGCCCGGGATTCTTCGGGATTTGAAGCCGGAGGAAATAGCCGGGCTGACGCTTCATGACACAGGAATTGCACGAAAAGTACAACAAGTGGGGCAAGGACGGCTACCCTTAAAGAATTAGAGATACCTGCGTTGAGAAGACGTGTTTTTGCACAGTCTGTGCAATGGGCAGAGGGTGGTTTTCATGTGTAGATAGGGAGAATTCAGTTTTATCCACGTTTTTCTACCTGGGACAGCATCTCCAACGTTGAAACTACATCACTCGGCCTCGCGGCTCATCAAGCTACCTTGACCGGTTTTATATGCTCCGAGGCTCATGAAGCGGGATTTCATCTGAACATATTTGCTGCAGGAAACTCAATCGCATGCAATTGAATCGTGAGGGCGAGTGAAAAGTATACTCCCAAAAAACAGCAATGCATTGCCTCGGTGTCACCCAACTCCCCAAAAACACCATTCGACTTACGCCCACAACACCACTCCCACACCCACACACAAGTCTACAAAAAGCCACCCGCCAATCTACGAGGCGAGCTGCTCAATCTCATCACCCGTAAACCCAAAGAGGTACAACAAGTCCAACAGGCTCTCGCTGTTGAGTCTCGTATCGGCCTCCATCTGCACCCTCGGCTTAGCGTTCCACGCAACACCCAAGCCCGCCGCACCCATCATCAGCAGATCGTTTGCGCCGTCACCAACCGCAACAACCTGCGACAGATCGATGCCCTCCTTGGCTGCAATCTCAACAAGCAGGTCACGCTTCCGCTCCTTGCCTACAACGAGGCCCTTGACCTCCCCAGTGAGCTTCCCAGCATCGTCGATGACAACCTCATTGGCGTGCGCGTAGTCGATGCCCAACTCTCCAGCAAGCCAGCTCGTCAGGGGCAAGAACCCGCCCGACAGCACCGCGGTCTTCACACCGAGGCGCTTCAGAGCCTTGATCAGGCGGGGCACGCCCTTGGTGACATCCAGGACGGGCCGCAGCTGCTCGAAGCAGGAGGTGGGCAGACCCTTGAGAAGCTGCACGCGCTCGCGGAACGCGGCGTCGAACTCGAGCTCGCCGAGCATGGCGCGGTGCGTGATGTCGGCGACGCGCGCGGCCAGGTCGGGCGGGTCCGTGAGCGTCGCGGCGAGCAAGTCAATCACCTCCTGCGTGATGAGGGTGCTGTCCATGTCGAAGACGACGAGACGCGGGTGCCTGCGCCACAGCGTGTCGGGCTGCAGCGCGACGTCGACGCTCCACTCCCTCTCGAAGCGGTAGATGAGCTCGTGCCGCCGCAGGTCCGTCAGGCTGAGGTAGCTCTGGCAGGGCGCCGGGTCGAGGGTCAGCTCGACGACGCGCGGGTGCTCCTGGCTGTCGAGGCAGCGGTGGGAGGAGCTGTAGTCGGACTCGCCGGCGGGGAGGGGGAAGGTCGACATGAGGTGCAGGAACGAGGTCACGCACATGGGCGAGACGTGGGATCCGTACAGGTGGTCGAGCTTCTCGGGCTCGAGGGTCGGGGGTTCGAGGGGGAAGGACTCGGGGTCCTGGGTCGGCGCGAAGTTGGCCGGGAGGGACTCCTTGCCGCTGGCGCTGTCGGAGGTGAGGGTCGGGGGGGATGCGACGCGGCCGCCACTTGCTCCGGCCGCTGTCGTGTGATGGCCGGCGCCGTCGCCGCCGTTCGGTTTGTAGAAGAGCGTGGCCACCAGGCGCGACTGCTTCTTCCCACCCGCGGGCGCGCAGTTGGGGTGCGAGTAGCTGTGGTTCAGGCCGCTGCGGATGGTGGGTGGGTTGTCCTCTGAGGGGATGCCGTTGAAGCCCGCATAGTGCTTGTGGCCGGCGTTGTGGTTGTGCTGCTTTGGCGGAGAGACGGCGACGTTGCTCAGGTCCTCGACGACGGTGTCGATGCCGAAGCGGCTCTCTGGGTGCTGCGGGGGCCGGTACTGCTGGTGCTCGCGCAAGAAGGAGCTGCTCCTCATGGACGAGGTCAGCTGAGGTCGGGGCGACGTTGTCGACTTGGCGGGGCTTGCGTCGGCCATGGCGGGAATACTCTTCTCTATCGTCTTTTCTTCTAAGGCGGGGTTTAAACTACGACGGACCAAGACGGAGACAAGGCTGGGACGAAGGGTGAATGGGACACTGGGGGACGGGACGGATAGAGGACTATGCAGGAGGAGGAGGATGGACCTTCAGCAACAGCTGTTGGCGACGGCAGCGGCGGCTTGGAAGATTGCGGGGAGAGAAAGAGAGAAAGCGCGAGAGAGACTGAGGACGAGGGGGAGGGGTAAAGACAGAAGCTCGGGGCCCGGCGTGGTGGTGAAGGTAAAGCTTAAAGACTCAGCTCAACTTAGTAGCCCTCATTGTTTCGAAAGGTAAAACATGTTCGCGTGGTTGGACGACAGACGATAGAGAGAAAGAGAGGATGGGGCCTCGCGGCGGAGGGCTGGCGGGTGCTGGTGCACTGTGAAGTCTGACTGTGTGCCCCGCCTCGCCGTCACTGGTCCGGATCCGAGCGAGGCCCGCAATTCCCGTGTCCCGACGTCTTGGGCGGCGCGCCATTGGCTGAGCTGGGCGTCGCATGGCAAGCTCTCCCGTGGGACCTTCCTTGAGCCGTGGGCCGTGGTATTCCCCAAAGTGGACGCCAGGATCACGTGGTTACCCCTCTAAAAATTCTGTTCTGAACTTCTGATAAGCTGAGGGGGGGAAGGAGGCCCGGTCCGAATGACATGTTGAGGCTCAATTACATCACTGTGAGGTCGGTCAGTCGTCTCCGGGTTCCGTCCAAGGTGAAAGGAGAAAACTTTGGCCAGAAGTCCGAACACGTGAGTTGGAAGCCAGTGTGAAAGAGCGAACCTTCGGGCGATCTGCGGGACCATCAGCCTCGCCCGAATCTACCGACGCCGGTCATCCAGGGGAGGGAACGTCAGGGACGATTCCATGACAGCCCTATCGCCGTACTAGTGTACATACGCAGAATCACGCACTGGCCTACCTTACCCTACCTCACGTTGGCCACCTACTGTGTTGGTCATTGGCAGGCAAGCAGTGCAGGCTGGCCTTGGCTTTTTCTGCTGGTAAGTTTGTTATCCACCAGTCACCGCGATGACCGAAAACTGATCATTGCTTCAGGA